AGAGATAGGCAATGGCAAACCACCTCTGAAATGTCTCTTGCCTTAAAAAAAAACCAAGTCTAGCTTGCCACCTAGTAGTGCATAACACTAAAACAGCTGGAACTTCTGGCTGCCAGACAATCTTAGGATTTCCTGGCTATTCTATACACAACGCCATACAATAATAATAATTATTAATATTTATGCCTGTCCACATCTAAATTGGGAGCTGAGAGCTTTTTCCTGGGGGGTGCTCTAACAGATAACATGGGTGAAGGGAGCACCTCTGTCTGTTTACTTCACTGCCCCATGGCCAGGCTTGAAGCATTTTTCTCCCAGCCTGGTTTATTTCTGGCATCAGAGCCAGATTGGGAGAAAATGCTTCAAAGGATAGAACTCTTCTAATCTTTGTTCAATTTTCGGTAAAAACAAAACACAAAACACAGTCCTTACGTTACACATGAACGGATGGACATGCAAATAAATTCTTATGTATCCCTGGTTCATTTAGTTTGCTTCTTTAAATGTAGTGGAAAGGGGGAGGAAGAAACCTGAGGGAATGCAGAGTGAAGACAGGAAAAGGGTACTAGAGGTGAGGTGGCCAAATGCAGTTCTACGTACCATCCAGACATCATTAGATATTGCACTCCCTCCTCCCACAGGGAGGGGCAGTGGCTCAGTGGTGAGCATCTGCTTGGCGTGCAGAAGGTCCCAGGTTCATTCCCCGGCTTCACCAGTTAAAAGGATCAGATAGGAGTGGAAGTGATGCGAAAAACCTCAGCCTGAGACCTTGGAAAGCCACTGCCAGTCTGAGTAGACAACACTGACTGTGATGGACCAAGGGTCTGGTTCAGTATAAGGCAGCTTCATATGTTCATATACGTCACAGCAATCATTTCCAACTGAATTGGTCTGCCTACACAGGATAATCCAGTTGTGAGCGCAACAGCACTATGACAGCACAATATCTGGTAATGGGTGGATGCAGACTTTGTTTAGCATGTGAATAGCTAGGCCAAAGTCTTAATGAAAAAGGTGGGTTTTACAGTGGGCTATAAAGATCTGGTGTGGTGTGGTGGTTAGAGGGCTCAACTACATTTGGGGAGCTCTAGGTTTAAATCCTTATTTGCCATTAAACTCACAGAGTGACCTTGGGCCAGTCATAAGAACATAAGAGAAGCCATGTTGGATCATGACAACGGTCCATCCAGTCCAACCCTCTGTGTCACACAGTGGCCAAAAACCAGCTGCCATCAGGTCCACTAGAACTCCAGAAACCCTCCCACTGTTGCCCCCAAGCACCAAGAATACAGAGCATTAATCTATACCTTGCGGCTAATAGCCACTGATGGACCTCTGCTCCACATGTTTATGTAATCCCCTCTTGAAGCTGTCTATGTTTGTAGCTGCCTGCCACCACTTCCTGTAGCAGGGAATTCCACATGTTAATTACTCTTTAGGTGGAGAAGTACTTCCTTTTATCTGTTCTAAGCCTACTGCTCATCAAATTCATTGAGTGCCCACGAGTTCTTGTACTGTGAGAAAGGGAGAAAAGTACCTCTTTCTCTACCTTCTCTGTCCCATGCATAATTTTGTAAACGTCTATCATGTCACCCCTCAGTTGTTGTTTCTCCAAGCTAAAGAGCCGTAACCTCTTTAACCTTTCTTCATAGGGAAAGTGTTCCATCCCCTTAATCATTTTAGTTGCCCTTTTCTGCACTTCCCCCATTTGCCCTCAGCCTAATCTACCTCACAGGGTTGTTGTGAGGAAGACATGGAGGAAAGGAAAATTATGTCTGCCATCCAGAGCTTCTTGGAGAAAAGGTGAAATAAAAATGTGAGAAGTGAGAAGAGGCATCACATAAGTGATGGAATTCCAGACCTAAGGAAAATCAAAAGCTAATATGAACACTGAAAGCAGAGAAGAAGGAGAGTAATACTAAATATTTATATAGAGCTTTAAAGCTCTTCAGATAAAGCTCTTTAAAGATCTTCAGATAATCTCTGTAATCATTACTATAACCCTATAAAGCGGGCTATCATGATTATCCCATAATAAATCTAATCAGTGCTGCCAGAATAAAGATAAGTTATAACCCAAGCCTAAAGATATTACTTAGGAAATATAGAAATAATTTCCTGACCCCTCCAGTTCAGGATATAAATTCCCTACTGGTATACAGGGATAAGTTAATTTTCATTCAAATTGCAGGATACAAATTAATTGATTTGCACACCAACTGCTGTTAGTCTCTGAATGCCAACTAATAAATAAGTAACACGGTGTGATTGCAAGCAATAGCCAGATCAATGTATTAGAATGCTAACCAGAAGATCACATTGCATTAGAAATGTGATGCTTTTTTAAAAAAAAAACACCAGGACTCTCAATATCCAGTTTAGGCAAACTGATTTTTCTTCTGTAGGTCAAACACAAACAAAACAAGAAAACAGACAAACAGATTAATTCAGGTGCATAGCCTAACAGTGTAATCCTGAGCAGAGTCCCCCCCCCATGGGTTTAGAATTGTATAAACTCTATTTAGGATTGCACTGTAAACAACTGATTTCTAAATGCAACTGCAGCCCAGTCCCAACATGCATTTTTATTTGGAAATAAATCATGCAATAGGACATACTCCGAAGTAAACATGTGCAGAAATAGCCTAATACTCTGCAGTAATGACTATACCAATCATCATCAATATATCTAATAGACTAATAGTGAACATGGCCCCCATCTGCAGATACTTAAATCTGCTGATTGGGGCCCTGGTGACGGAATGGAGATTTTTCTTCAGACTTGTGGGATCCTCCCCTAGGTTTGCCAAAAAAATCTGAAACCTCAAAAGGGAGTTTAAAAAAAAACATTTTTGGGAAGCTTTCTCCTCTTGTACCTTTAACTGAAACAGCCTTGTTGGAGGCATGCAGGTGGCTGAATGAGAGGCGTCTCTGCAGCTCCCAACCTCTGCTGAAACAGCCAACAGGGTGCTGGAGGTAGGTAGATGGGCAGGTGAGGAGGAGGGGGAGCTTCTGTCACCCCCACCATTGCCAGGTCCAGGGAAGGGGACATGAAAGCAGGTAGGCAGGTGGGGAGGGGGAGGGCTGAGCTAAATGTCCCCCCTCTCTTGGTGGGTGAGGGGTGGGTGAGTAGTAAGCTGTGCAGCAAGTGGATGGCCCACCAGGGGGAGGAGAGGATGTATCCCCTTATAATTCCTACATTTGTATATAAACTGACCTACTTGCACAAAGTAACAAGTCCATTGATCCACAATGCTTGTAGCGCACTCTGCTGCCTGTTGTCAAGTTTGCATGCTTTTATGTGTGATTTGGTTAGTCCTAATTAAAGATATTATGTGGACTGTGTTATGGTTATTTGAATTTCACTTTAGGACTACCATGGCTGCCAACAACTTCTGTGATCAAGAGTGCCTGTGCTCTGGGTTTATCAAGAAATACTCAAGAAGAAATTAGGTTTGAAGGCATGAAAGCTTACAGTTTGCATCTAGAGCAATGGTTTTCAAAGTGTGTTCCCAGGAATTAGGGTTGCCAGCTCTGGGTTGGGAAATACTTGGGGAGTTTTTGGAGGGTGGAGCCTGTGGAGGGGACCTCAGCAGGGTGTAATGCCATAGAGTCCACCCTTTCTAGGCAGCCATTTCCTCCAGGGGAACTGATCTCGATTGCCTGGAAATCAATTTTAATAGTGGGAGTTCTCCAGGTGACACCTGGAGCTTGGCAACCCTACTGGGAATCCTGGGATTTCTTGGAAACTTGTCAGGCAGGAAAATTTATCAAGCAAAAGATCAGCTAAGATGGCCTAGTAGTGTATTGTCAAACCACCCTATCAAACCTGGGTTCAGATCCTCACTCTGCCATGACGTTTGTGGGGTGATCTTGGGCCAGTCACTCTCACTTAGGCTGAAGATCTCCCGCTATTACATCTGATCTCCAGGCGATCCCCCTGGAGAAAATGGCCACTTTGGAAGGTGGACCCTCCCCTCCCCAAACCCCACCACCTCCAAATCTCCAGGTATTTCCAAACCCAGAGCTGGCAACCCCACCGCAGTCAAATTTATCTAACAGATACAGTTGCCAACTCTGGCTTGGATATTTCTGGAGATTCATGGCTGGTGGCTGGAAAATCTTGGAGGCGAAGGAGGCTCTCAGCCAGGAGGTACGTGGTGCTCTAGATTCTGTCCTCAGAAGCTGCCATTTCCTTCAAGGAAACGGGGCTGTGTTCCTGAAGAAGTGAGCGGTGACTCACCGAAGCTCCTACCCTGCCACATATTTTGTGAGTCTTTAACGTGCTCCTGGACTCTTCTTGCTCTTTTCCGCTGCTACAGACAGACTTAGCAGTCGGCTGCCCATCTTGATCTCTGTCTCCATGGAAGGCACCGCATTTATAGCCCTAAAGAACGGAAGCCCAATCAGCCTCGTGAAACGTATCTGAAGAGGTGAGCGGTGACTCAGGAAAGCTCGTCCCCTGCCACAGATTTTGGGAGTCTTTCAGGTGCTGAACTGGAGTCTCTTTCTCGTTTCCTCTGTCACGAAGCATGCCCGGGACCACGCAGCAGGGCGGCTCTTAAACAAAGCCTTGTCACGGGCAGGATGTATAAAGCCTCACGGACTGTTAGTAACAGTACAAATCCCGCGCAGATTCCCTACAGAGAGAGGGGAGCAGCGTGAGGAAGAAACTCTCAGAGACTGGCGCCATTCTGCGTAGGACTGCGCGGGAGAAGGATTACAGGCAGCCGCGGAAGGACTCTGGGTTGCCCTTCCGCTCAGCAAGGCCTTCTTTCCGGGAGGCCGCCACCTTCAGCGCCTCCCTGGTCCCAGGCGAAGCCGAAGCGGCCTCCTCCTCACGACGACGCGCGACGGACATTTTCCTCCTCCCCCCGCCGCGCGTTCACGAACAGAGAAGCGGCTGAAGGGGAAGGGAAAGGCCGGGCGCGCCCCCCCCCCCGGCGCAGTCCCGTCAGGCGCGTTCCCTGAATCACGCCTTTAATAGGGTCGGAGCCTCGCTTCGGCGCATGCGTGCACGGCTCGGACGAGAGTGGTGGCGGCGCTTGTGTAAGTTCCGCGGTGGCGTCCGGGGGGGCCGCGCGCTTTTGGAGGTGGAGCGCGTGCACCGGGAGATGGGGTTGGGGGAGTGATGCAGGGGGTGGCGAAGTTTGGACAGGTGGGCGGGGTTTTTTTGGTGGTGGTGGGGAGATTGCAAAGGAGGCTGAGACGAATGTGGGCGTCGATTGGCCTGCCTCTGCTCGGTCGTGGGCATCAGGTTCTGCTACGTCCGGTACCTGTCACGTTGGGTCTGGTCGGAGTCCGACGTGCCCGAGTGTCTAGGCTGTGTGCAAGGTCGGATGGGCAGGAAAAGCAAAGGAGAAAGTCCGGTTTTTTGCCTTGCCTGCTTGCAGTGGTCCCGATCAATGTTCCCTCTAAGCTGTGGAGTCTTGTGAGCAAAAATTCTACTTTGTGAGCTACTGGAATTACAGTTGTGAGCAAGCGATTTGGCTGCTGCATAAGTTAGTTTGCTCTGGAGCCATCCTTCCTGAGCTAAGACAAAAATATGTGAGCCGCAGGCTAAAAAACTATGAGCTAGCTCACACTAACTCAGCTTAGAGGGAACACTGGTCCCGATACGCCCTTCGAAATCCATTGACTTCAATGGACTTAGAAGGGTGTCACTGTGCTTAGGATGCGTTGTCAGTTCATGCGCCCAAGGTAGTAAACAAAACTAGTGCCGAGCAAGACAGATGCATTTATTTATTTATCATATGACAGAGTTACACACACAGGAAGCATATGATAACCAAGTTGATACAATTGGGTATGCAGACCGACGAAAGCCACCCCCTCAATAAAAAGGTAAAGGTTCCCTTGCTCGAAAGCCAGTCGAATCCGACTCTAGGGTTGCGGTGCTCATCTCCGTTTCAAAGCCGAAGAGCCAGCGCTGTCCAAAGACGTTTCCATGGTCATGTGGCCAGCATGACTAAACACCAAGGCGCACGGAACGCTGTTACCTTCCCACTGAAGTGGTACCTATTTATCTACTTGCAATTTCTTGCTTTCGAACTGCTAGGTTGGCAGGAGCTGGAACTAGAGACGGGGAGCTCACTCCGTCATGCGGCACCCGGGTCTTGAACTGCTGAACTATTGACCTTCCACAGCCTGCAGTTCAGCGTCTTAACCACTTGAGCCACCGCAGCTCCTAAACCCCCTCAATACTAATATCTAAATTTTCAATCCACTCAGTTGCAGTTGGGGAAAGTTCAGAGAGCTCCATCACATCATCCTGAAAAGCACGACACTCACATTCCTGTGACAGATGGAAAATACTTTGGCGGGCTGCACCACAGTCACATTTGGGTCCTGGCTTTTTTCCCCATTTAAACAACCGGTCTGCATAACTGCCAAAGCCTGTCTGTATTCTATGCTAACAGAATAAGACAGCTGCATTGGTCAGCATCATAGCAAACATGAGAAGAATCATAGAGATAATAAAACGACATCTTCAAGATCAATAAGGTTGGGGTTTTTTTAATTGCAGCATAATCTTTTGTAGAGTAGAGTTCACTTCGTAAGATGTATGTACTGGGTCCTTGCTACGTTTTTCTGTGTCTCTTGCTTTATATGTATCTAGGCCCCGGTCAGACGTGCTGGAAAATGTGGGGGGGAAGTGCGGCTATTTGCGCTGTCGCATTCTGATACGCCATTATGTGATCAGATGCGACTGTGGCTTTCCCGCGGCAGAGGACAACGGGGGAGAAAGCCGCGTGCCGGCGCAATCATACCCAGGGAGTCCGCATGCAGCCCGTGGCAAACCATTTGCCAGTAGGTCGTCCCAGGTACTTTTTTAATGCACATCTTCGGCGGGACGCCACGGGTTTGCCATGGGTGCGCTACGCCTCCCAGATGTTCCGGTGTGATCACGCCTGGAAAATCCACGGGACGACCGTACCTTCAGCGCAGCAAATGCTCCGTGTGGACAGGGCCATAGTGTATTTTTAGACCACTTTTTCACTCTTAAGTTCCTTAGGGTGGTTACCAACAAGTTAGAGCAGACACAGCTGCATTGATGACATTACACTACTATGTGGAATTACGCTAATTATAGAAAACAAATATAAAGTAAAACTGTTTTGAAAACTTCCCTAACAAAAGCACAATGGAATGGACCTCAGTAATGGTGCAATCTTAGAAATGTCTGTTCAGAAGTAAGTACCAAGATGTTCAATGATGCATAGTCCTAGATAAGTGTGGACAGGAGTTCCCCCTAAGAGCCATAGGAAGTTATGGGGTGAGCTGTAAATAAAATAAACAGTAGGGTCAAAAGGCCATGAAATCCAGAAACGACAAGTGAGATGTAATGACTTAAAACTCATGTGTTAAAGGGGGGGGGAGGTACAGAGATCATTCACTATGGCAGAGTTGGTGATGATGTGAATTTTCTTACTCGTGTTAACTAATTTGGCAAAAGTAATGGTGGATGAATTCTTCATGGAAACTTAGAATGCAAGAATTGGTTCTTTCCTTTGCTGTTGTCCCTTGAAGGCTTTTTAGTGATCGAGTATTACTAGAATATTTGTGACTTCAAACACCATTTGTTGCAAAAAAAATTTAGGTTTACATAAAAATCTACAAGATGTAATGTGCAAAGTGTCTACAAAGTTAGGGGCATCATCTAGTGAAAAGCTAACCCTGTCAAGTCCCACTGATTCCAGAAGTACAGTGAAGCCCATGATTAGGTATAAAACAGCTCAACTTCAGCTGGATCATGTCCTAGGACAGTGATGGTGAACCTTTTAGAGACCGAGTGCCCAAACTGCAACCCAAAACCCTCTTATTTATCGCAAAGAGCCAACACGGCAATTTAACCTGAATACTGAGGCTTTACTTTAGAAAAAAACAACTCATACATTAACTTAAGACGATCCAAACAAAGTAAGGAAAGCAATCCCAAATGCTTTCATTTACTTAAAATTATTTGGCAGAGAATTCGACACTTTAATGATGGTCTGGGCCTGGCTGGGGTGATGGCACGCATGCCCACAGAGAGGGCTCTGAGTGCCACCTCTGGCACCTGTGCCATAGGTTCGCCACAACTGTCCTAGGAGTTTTCATAGGTAAAAAGCTGAGAACACATAGCATTTGGGTCTGAGGGTTCTATAAGATGTGAAATATGCAGACAGATCTGGGGTGACTAAATGCCACTTGTGTATGTTTCCAGCACAAGGATAAACACAGTTTGAAGTGAAAGTTTTCAGGTTTCTATTCACCCTCTTGGGACCAGCTTGTTTTCACTACTTGCTCTCGGCTGTGCTGTGAGAAACGGATGACTCTTCTGCATAATGAAAAAAGAAACGGATCTGATTTCAAATATCAAAAGAAAGAAGCTTGTAAATAATTTTTTTGGGGAAAGGCAGGTGTTGGGTCGACCAATGCCTGAAGGATACTTGCAAAGGCATCGTGGTCGTTCACTACGGTGGAAATTGCCATCAAATGGCAGATGCCTTATGGTGACCTTGTAGGGTTTTCAAGGAAAGAGACAAACAGAAGTGGTTCTGCCATTGCCTGCCTCTGCATTGCAACCCTGGGCTTCCTTGGCCATGTCCCATCCAAGTACTTGCCTTGGTGGACTTTGCTTAGCTTCCGAGATCTGATGAGATCAAGCTAACCCCTCCAGGTTAGGGCACTATTGTTCGCTCTGCTAGATGTGTTGTGGCCGAAGTGGGCCTGGCTCTTGAAAAATCTTGATTTGAACAACATACAACACCCCATGCTGCTTGCGCTCATCACACAATTTTTTTACTGTGCCTGATCCTTGGGAAGTCCATCTTGCTTCCACTAGGGCAAGCATTTGGGATTGCTTTCCTTACTTTGTTTGGATCGTCTTAAGTTAATGTATGAGTTGTTTTTTCTAAAGTAAAGCCTCAGTATTCAGGTTAAATTGCCGTGTTGGCACTTTGTGATAAATAAGTGGGTTTTGGGTTGCAGTTTGGGCACTCGGTCTCTAAAAGGTTCACCATCACTGTCCTAGGACATGATCCAGCTGAAGTTGAGCTGTTTTATACCTAATCATGGGCTTCACTGTACTGCTGGAATCAGTGGGACTTGACAGGGTTAGCTGTTCACTAGATGATGCCCCTAACTTTGTAGACACTTTGCACATTACATCTTGTAGATTTTTATGTAAACCTAAATTTTTTTTGCAACAAATGGTGTTTGAAGTCACAAATATTCTAGTAATACTCGATCACTAAAAAGCCTTCAAGGGACAACAGCAAAGGAAAGAACCAATTCTTGCATTCTAAGTTTCCATGAAGAATTCATCCACCATTACTTTTGCCAAATTAGTTAACACGAGTAAGAAAATTCACATCATCACCAACTCTGCCATAGTGAATGATCTCTGTACCTCCCCCCCCCTTTAACACATGAGTTTTAAGTCATTACATCTCACTTGTCGTTTCTGGATTTCATGGCCTTTTGACCCTACTGTTTATTTTATTTACAGCTCACCCCATAACTTCCTATGGCTCTTAGGGGGAACTCCTGTCCACACTTATCTAGGACTACGCATCATTGAACATCTTGGTACTTACTTCTGAACAGACATTTCTAAGATTGCACCATTACTGAGGTCCATTCCATTGTGCTTTTGTTAGGGAAGTTTTCAAAACAGTTTTACTTTATATTTGTTTTCTATAATTAGCGTAATTCCACATAGTAGTGTAATGTCATCAATGCAGCTGTGTCTGCTCTAAAGCTAGACTTGTTTTTTTAAGGCAAGAGATGTTTCAGAGGTGGTTTTGCCATTGCCTGCCTCTGCGTCACGACCCTGGTATTCACTGGAGGTCACCCATCCAAATACTAGCCAAGGCTGACCCTGCTTAGCTTCCGAGATCTGACAAGATCGGGCTAGCCTGGGCTATCCAGGTTAGGGCAAGGAATCGGTATAAAAGAGATACTCAGCTGCAGGAGGATGCAATGTTAGGGCAGCACTGGCATGTCTCTTTCTGTATCATTCTCAGGGGCTTTGATGTATTTTGCTCATTTGAGTCCCAGTGACGGGCCGTGCCACTGCATTAAAAAAACAGTGTTAAGTCGGGGGGGGGGACAGCTTGTGTTGCTTCTGGCTATAGCGCTGGCTGGTGGCATTTCTGATTTTTTCCCCCCACGTGTCTAGATTTCTGGCTCTGAACTTGGCCATGGACACCCTGACTCCTGAGGGGGAAGCCCCCCCACTCTCTGCAGCGATGAGGGCGAAGATCGAACGGAACCGTCAGCGGGCTCTGATGCTGCGGCAGGCCAGGCTGGCCACTCGGCCGTATCCGGCCACCGGCGAAGGTTTGCTTGTGCAGCACAGGACACGGGGTTGGGGGAGCCCAGGCGGTTCAGGTGCCTTTGAGCCGACGGCTGGCGCAAGAGGGAGATACGCTGATGAGAGAAAAGAACGTCATAAGCTTTACTGCATTCGCTCACAGCCTTAGCCAGTGACATCAAAAATGCCAACAACATCGAGAGTTAGAATGCAACAATCACAATAAAAACTCTAATATAGGTTACGATTTTATCAACAATCATTAAGAACACGGCAGAAATGTGAGTTGAAACCAACATCAATTCAAGCAGTTCAGTCAGATAGTCAACAAAATGCATAGATTTATCCACTGGCTGCATTCACAGTGGGTGGTTTTGGTAAGGCCTTTATCACCCATGCAACAAACTTTGCCGTTTGCATCGTTATGATAGAAAAGAATAAGGAAAGGAGGTGATGTAATGGTCAAAGTGGATTTAAAAAACAACAACAGTGGGGCTGGTTTTAAAATAATGCCTGGGATCCTGGTATTTCTAGACTGCATCTCTGTCCTTCATTTTGGAAGCATTTCTCACTGTTTTGCATGGCAGCAAAAAAGCCTGAATGACCAGTCTCACTTCTGGACAAGAGCCCAAGAGATTAAACGTGGCAACAGGCATTGTTCTTTGAGGCTCTCTCAATGCTGACTTTTAAAACTAAATCTTAAGGGGAGTTGAAAGAGATTATCTGAAGTGCAGGGCTACTCGTAACATATGAGCAGGATAGAATCTAATTATTTTAATCTCTTTGGCTAGGAAGCTTGCGCACTTGGGCAAACAGGAAAAAAATGTCTTAGCTCAAAGATTCGGCAGTGTGGGAGAGATGAGGATCCAGAATCCAGAAGCAGAATAACACAGTGACTATTAAAAGATAATATTATTGAGGGGCTTTCTAGATGGAGACCAAATTCCCCGTACAAGAGAGATGGTGAGCTGTAGGTCGTATATCATTGCTTGCTGAAGTCTCGTATCCCTTAACAGGAGTCAGCAAAGCCAGTTCCACATTCTGGGGGGGTCTTGGGGAAAGTGCTCAGGGGGCTACATATGCCCACTGCTAGACCCCCCTTCTTGCCCCCTTCACCTGTGCATCTTCACCCTGTCCACTCGCATGCTCTCCTACCACCTGGGGGCTGGGAAGCCTAATTAATAGCAAAGTTTCTTTTAGTTATATGTGTGCGTGTGACATTATTCTCCATCCTTTCAGGCAGTTCAAAAGTTAAAGCGCCTCCTAAAGTAACAGATACCGGGGGAGGATTCTTTCTGGAGGAGGAGGAAGAAGAGGAAGACGTGGCAGAGAAGATTGTTCACCTTCCAGGTATGCGGTGACGATGTTGAAACGATGGCTGTCGCTGATAACTGTTAAGTTTGCCGAAAATAGAACAAAAGGAGAATAGGAACAGAGGGGAAACTGGCCATTATTTCTTGTGGAGATGTAGAAAAAAAATCTGAAATATATACACAATGGATGGAAGCAATTTTGCACCTTTCGGTAGTTATCCAAACAGACACTGCACTGAGCTGTGCCCTGCTTTCTGTTTTGTGATTGTGCCTCTGGGTTATTTTCCCCGCAAGCAAGAGCATCTACAAAATGTTACACTCACCCAGAGGAGTATAGCATTTTGTAGTGCCAGCCTCTTGCCTGTTCAGAATGACCATTGCTTTTCCCCCCACAGGGGGAAAGCCATCCATATCCTTCCTTTGCAGGTTGGCAAGCAGAGAAGAAGAGGGTGAATTTGAGCTGACAAAAGACCTGGCCGGAATAGGGTTAAGGTCACTTCTCCCCTCCTGGCCAGTTCTCCACTTAAGAATCTAGCTTCTTGCAACTACTTATCTCAGGGGAGGGGACACATTATCTCAGAACTGCTTGTAATGTATAGCTGGCCCCTGTAGGGCTGGGAAAGTAAAGGGTGTTTGGAAGCTGATTATGGCTATCCCAACTCCAGAGAACTTTCTGCCACAGCAGTGGGAAGTTGCATGCATGCCTCTGTGCATGAAGGTTTCCCACACGGAATACGGGTGGCTTGACTGTATAGGTATCTGAGGCCTGGTTTGAACTGGATGGAGACAGAGGACAGGAGAACTTAGCCACATGGCACTGCACCTGCCCCATTGGGCCCTTGGCTGCTGTGTGTGCAGCATTTGTGCTCCATAGATTGGTAGCCCACATGAGTGTTGCATCAGCATGCTAATATTTGCAGGCATAGCAGCCCCATTTAAATGTCAGGTGTGTGCAAAGTCACATGGGTAGGCTCTTTAGTCCTGCCAATTGTTTGTCTAGTTTTAATCAGGCCTGGGTGGGAGAGGTCTGCAAGGAATGAGCCCTCCCACACCCAAACAAGAGCGTGGGGATTTTGTAAATGACGGGTCATTTATGCGTGCAGTCATACCCCAGGAGTCAGATATGGAATATCTTTGAAGCTGCCTTATATTTAATCAGACGGTCAGTCCGTCAAGGTTTGTATTGTCTACTCAGTGGCTCTCCAGGGTCCCAGGAAGAGGTCATTCACCTAATCGGAGATGCCAGGGATTGAACCTGGGACCCTCTGTATGCCAAGCAGGTGCTCTGCCACTGAGCCACAGCCCCTCCCCCTCTCCCCATTTAAATGTCAGGTGTGTGCAAAGTCACATGGGTAGGCTCTTTAGTCCTGCCAATTGTTTGTCTCGTTTTAATCAGGCCTGGGTGGGAGAGGTCTGCAAGGAATGAGCCCCCCCCACACCCAAACAAGAGTGTGGGTTTTTTGTAAATGACTGGTCATTCATGCGTGCAGTCACACCCCAGGAGTCAGATAGGGAATATCTTTGAAGTTGCCTTATATTTAATCAGACGGTCAGTCCGTCAAGGTTCGTATTGTCTACTCAGTGGCTCTCCAGGGTCCCAGGAAGAGGTCATTCACCTAATCGGAGATGCCAGGGATTGAACCTGGGACCCTCTGTATGCCAAGCAGGTGCTCTGCCACTGAGCCACAGCCCCTCCCCCTCTTTCCCGGAGCACTACATTTTGGTGGGAGTGCGATAGCTTGCATGCATCGCTCGTCCTCACTTAATTGGGGTGTTTGTGACTCGGTGAAAGCTTGGTCAGGCTTAATTTCAGATGGGCGGCCGTGTTGGTCTGTAGCAGCGAAATAAAGCAGGAATCCAGTGGCACTTTAGATGCATGCATCCGATGAAGTGAGCTGGGTCTTGGGAAGGTTCAAGCTGGACTAAATGTCTTCAGTCTCTAAAGTGCCACTGGGGTGTGGGTGTGTGTGTGTTAAGTTCTGTCAAGTCGCTCCCAAATTATGGCAACCCTCTGAATTAATGACCTCCCAAACGTCTGATCGTTAACAGCCTTGCTCAGGCCTCACAGACTGAAGACCACTGGACTCCTGTTTATTTTAATGGTCTGAGTTTTGTTTCCTAATCTCTATGCTGTTTACCATTGGAAAGCAGTCCCATTTGAACTCATGGAGTGGATAGGTTAGGTAGGAGTGAGCAGACAGGGAAAGATTTAGGTGTCGAACTCATTTGTTACGGGGGCCAGATCTGACATAAATGTCACTTTGTTGGGCCGGGCCATGTGTGCCATAAAATGTAATGCCAGGTACCGGGGAGATATAAACTTTATAAAGGACACAGGCAAACCCAATTAACAATATTATCTTTTACTCAAACTACAAAGTTTGTGAGCCGCCCTGAGCCTTCGGGGAGGGCGGGATATAAATTTAAAAAATAAACAAACAAACAAATAAATAAACATGCTTTATACAGTAACACTCCTACAGTATTTCCTTAAAGTATCTCCCTGATGCCCGCCCACCCACTTCCACCACCCATGGCTTATTAGCACTGGGACAGGATACAGGGACATAATGCACAGCCTCTGTCATTTGGCAATACAAGTTGCTCGGGGGCCAGATAAGAGGCCTGGATGGGCTAGTTCTGGCCCGTGGGCCGTATATTTGACATCCCCGGAGTGGTCTCCCCTGCCTTAAGATCCCAGTTTGTTGCAGGCGGGAACAGTGCAGATCTGCTTGTAACGTGTAACTTGGCCCTGTTAGGGCTGGGAAGGTAGGCAGAAAGCAGAACATGGGCACTGTGGCTCACACATGAAGCTGCCTTATATACTGAATCAGACCATCATTCCATCGAGATCAGTATTGTCTGCTACTGCCCTGACCTGGATAGCCCAGGCTAGCCTGATCTCTTCAGATCTTGGATCCAAGCAGGGTCGGCCCTGGCTAGTATTTGGATGGGCGTCCTCCAGGGAATACCAGGGTTGTGTGATGCAGAGGCGGACTATGGCAAAACCAGCTCTGAAACGTCTCTTGCCTTAAAAACAAGTCTCGCTCAGCCACCTAGTAGTGCATAACGCTAAAAGAGCTAGAACTACTGGCTGCCAGACAATCTTAGGATCTCCTGGCTATTCTACACACACTGTCATGCAATAATTAATTATTATTAGTATTGCCTACTCAGGCTGGCGGTGGGTCTCCAGGGCCTCAGGCAGAAGTCTTTCACATCACCTCCTTCCTGCCCTTTTAACTGGAGATGCGGCGGATTGAACCGGGGACCTTCTGCATACAAAGCCGAGGCCCTTCTGCTGAGCCAACTGCCCTGTCCTGGGCTCTTCCTGCCATAGCACCAGGCTGCACGTGCATTGCTCTCTACCCCTGGAAAGTGCCTCCATTTGAATGCATGCTGCTGATAGGTTAGGAGTGAAAAGTGCTTCATACTCCATCGTGCAGTTAATGGCCCTTTTTGTTAGCCACAGAAAAAAAAAGTGCCACCTCAAGGATGACGGATGCAGGCATCTGGAGATGGCAGGCGCAGTAGGGAGAAGCTGAGTCACCTGATAGAAGGTAGGCCACCTGTAGAAAGGATGAAGGTGAAGGAGTGGGAGAAGTGCGAGTTTGGTATAGTGAGAGCCAATTTGGTGTAGTGGTTAAGAGCGCAGACTCCAATCTGGGAGAGCCGGGCTTGATTCCCCACTCCTCCACATGCAGCTGCCGGTGTGTCCTTGGGTCAGTCATAAGTTCTCTCAAAGCTGTTCTCTCAAGGGCAGTTCTTGAGAGAGCTCTCTCAGTCCCACCTACCTCACAGGGTGTCTGTTGTAGGAAGGGGAAGGGAAAGGGGATTGTAAGCTGCTCTGAGACTCCTTTGGGTAGTGAAGGGCAGGGTATAAGTCCAATCTCCTCCTCCTCCTCCTTGTGTTTCTTTAGGTAACTTGAGTCCTGCCTATGTGGAGGTTTAGATTAATGGTCCGGCAGTGCCATCCTAAGCGGAGTTACACTCTTCAAAGCCCATTTGCTTAGAATGGCACTGTTGGTTGCTTTTGGTTCTCTCATTCTGTCGCTTCTACAGTTTTTATTTTAAATAAGAAACCTTTTCATGGTTTCTTTTGTCTACATCCCATCTCTGTTTTTATTTTCTTCTCAAAGTCTAAGCAAAAGGAATCTTTTAACAAACAGCGCTTAATTTCCCCCCCTTATTTCTTACTGTGTCAGTAGACTCCCTACAGGTCTTTTAGCGCTGGCTCCCACTATGGTGCTGTTAAACCATTTTGCTTCTAGGAGAGAATTGGTGCTCTCTGGGACTGTCCTGCAGGTAGTTCCCACGTGCAAGCCCCATTAAAACGAACAGAAGCTTTGCCATTTCAGTTCATTCCAGTGGTGCTCGCACAGGAGAAACTTAATGATTAATGCCGTCCCTAAAGACAACAGTGCTCTCCAGCACTTCGAAAGCTAAGTAGAACAAATGCATTTTTTCCTATCCTAAGTGTGAAATATACGGTATTAGCATTTGTTATCAACTTTTAAAAGACAAAAATAGATTGTAAAATGAAGATTCATAGATCTGTAAAGCTGAAGGAAAATATGGGCAGACTTATCTGTAACTGGGAAAGCTTTCTGGGTGAGCTTGGGGCACATTGTCCACTTAACCTGCCTCACAGGGCTGTTGTGAGGGTAAAGTGGAGAAGAGAACAATGTAAGGAGCTTTGGGTCCCCATTGGGGAGAAAAGTGGGGTATAGAGGAAGCAGATAAATGAATCATCATCGAGTGGTGCGGTGTGCAATCATACATGGCCTGCACATGCACAGATCCCACATGAATACATACTGGATCAGACCATCAGTCTATCAAAGTCAGTATTGTCTACTCAAACCGGCAGCAGCTCTCCAGGGTCTCAAGCAGAGGTCTTTTGCATCACCTACTACCTGATCTTTCACTGGAGATGCCAGGGATTGAACCTGGGACCTTCTGCATGCCAAGCAGATGCTCTACCACTGAGACATGGTCCATCCCACATGGAACTGCACAATCACCATGACGATGAACCATCTGTCCTACTCAGAATTCCATTTCAACCTTGCTATATTTTGTGTGTGTGTGTGGCTAGATTCAGAAGTACTTTAATATAGGGTATTTGAATGTTCTTAACAGCATAAATTGTTTGTTTCTTTGTAACAGGGCCTGTGTTAGGATGTGACTATCTTATCTGTGAAGAATGTAGTAAAGAATTCATGGACTCCTACCTCATGAGCCACTTTGATCTATCAACCTGTGATAATTGCAGGTATAAAGAAAAATAAGTTTCCATTTATTAAATGCTAACAAAGTCCCTAACATTGTGAAGCAAGGTTGGGGAGGGTGGGGCTTGGTGTGTTGATTTTACTCTCTTGTCTTCCAAAACGTACCCTCAGCTCTGTGTAGAAAATAAATGTTCTTTCATAATCTTAAGTTCAGGGAAGTCTGACGAAATTGGTATAATCAAATAGATAGAATGAGGAATAGGGGAAAAACATGTCTCATATAGCATATGGCTTTGCTGAGCAAAACAGCTGTGTTAGTTTTCATCCTGAACATTAGAGTGCAAAGTTTAACTGCAGTATGCAAGTACTTAAAAGACCATTGAAGGCTCATGAGGACATACTTAAATATGTGGGATGTTTTACTTAAGAAAGGTGACTAAGGGTGGATATGTTGTGTATATTTTTAAAAATATCTGTGGGGTGTTGAAAGTGAATAGAGAGAAATTTGGCTTGTTCTCTCATAGAAATTGAACAACAGTTAGGGATAGGCAGGGTTCGTGGTTCATGGCTGAACCAAAAACCAAACCATGAACCCATACAAATGGGAAGGCTGGTTTGTGAACCAACCCGGTTCATATCAGTTTGTGAGCCATTTAATGTTTAAACCCCTGCTTTCTGCTCCCTGCAGCTTTTTGTGGGGAGCAGAAAGCAGTGGTTTGAATGGCTGCTTTAATGGCTGCTTTCTGCTCTTCACAAATCGCATCAAAATTCCTGAAAGTTTGTGGCGGTTCTTCAGTTCATAAACATCGCTTCACAAACCATGAACCAAAATTTGTGACAAACTTTATTTCGTCAGCCAATTTGTGCCCATCCCTAATAGTAAATTCTAGATGGACAAAAATAGCAGTCCTTTGTACTCCTATACTCCTAAAAGTGCCTTTATGGATCACAAGACATGGTGACAGAATGGCCACTGGCTTAGGTAACTTTAAAAAAAGTTTAGACAAAATGATGATACTCGCAAGACATGGTGACAGAATGGCCAATGGCTTAGGTAACTTTAAAAAAGGTTTAGACAAAATTATGATACCTAGAGACTCCACGTAAAGAGGCAGTCTGTCTCCCTATACCATTTAATGGCGGGCAAATATCAAAACAGGATTATCTTCTTCATGCTCTGGTTTGGTCTGATCCAGCAGGGCTTTTCTTATATTCTAAGGCCAGTCCAAATAAGGAGGATCTCTGTTAGATCTCCACTGTACTTCCAATCTTGGGCAAGTCTCCAAGGAACAGCTGTCACAGAACTGCGAAGTAGCTACCAAAGTTAGTTTATATGCTGTGTTCATATAGGTTTGTGACGTGTGAATGTATTTTTTTTCTAGCGGGGAAGAAGCAGTCTCGTGTATCACAATTAGATACATGTAATTATCTATTATTATATGTAAATTTGGGAAGTTTTAAAGCTTGATATCGTTAAGGAAAGTTCAGCCGCAGTGATTGTGAGCATTGAAGGAATGGCGCCACAGGGGTGTTGCTTGTATTAGCCAGAAATTTGTGGGTTGGTGAGTAGAATCTAGGATGTGCACGCCTTCAGGACAGGGTCAGGGTCAGAAGCAGACAGACAAGAAACAATGGCTGGTTTATTATCCACCAATGTGGCCTAATACAGCAACAGACATCTCCTGCCTAGGCATTGAACATGAAAGCATTAAGCCAGTGGGCTGGATCCCGTTCTTCTAGGTACAACTTCATAATGATTTCTGTTGCATTTTTATTATACAGACATTGTGCTTAATTTTGGTAGGATTGTGCTCAGTGTGCTCAGTCTGAAAAGCCACAGGGGGAAGTATTTCGTAACTTAACACTCAAAGGCAGACTCACAAATCCCTGACTACTGGGTCAAGTTCCTTGAGGGAACAGACATTGCGGAAAAACTATCAAGGACTTCCGGTTTCCGTGACTGCACTGAAATCTCATTTCAGAGACGCAGAAGATAAGCATAAGCTCATAACAAGAACTGAAGCGAAGGAAGCGTACCTTCTAAAAGACTGCGACTTAGACAAGAGAGAACCAGTGCTCAAGTTTATTTTGAAGAAGAACCCCCATAACCCCCGGTGGGGCGACATGAAACTATATTTAAAACTGCAGGTACTGAAGCTTGCCAGAAACTCTCCCCCCCCCGCCGCCGTTTCCATTCTGAGCATGACCGCTATTTTAGCTCAGCTTAGCATTTTGCTTTAATCGAAACCAGACACAAAATGTGACAATATGACATTTGGTCATGTTCATTTACAATTTCTAAGTCATTTATTGGTTACAGTAATTCAGGGGTCCCCATGGCGCCCACTGATGCCATTTCTAGTGCCCACCAAGTATTTTTAGGAAATGAGTGGGGCCAGGTAGGGCTTTTGCCCAGCAAGACTTATGTACTACTGGGGATTTGGTTGGCTGTGCAAATTTTGTTTAAATGTTGCTTTGGCAGCAGCTGCCTCCACAGCACAAGGATCTGCACCATGTTACTGAGG